GTTAAGTATTATGGAGGTTAATGTGTCAATGGCTTTAGTTTTAACACTATCGGTCTCGAAGAGATACGACAAACGCAAAACAGCGATGTGTCCTATTTCTTCTCGTAACTATCATACACTAGTTCAAAAGATCTAAATCCGATACAAGAGGAAATCTATTGCTACGGTCAGGTAGAAGATATCGTAGATATTTTCTATAGGATTAATAAGGAAGTCAGTCATGTGATGTTTAAGGTTCGTTGATGTGAGCAGAAAAAGACGAAAGATGACTACGGTTACATACTTGTTAATCTTAACAAGGAAATATATCAGACTAAAAAGTACATATTAGCTGCTCATGCCAAACAGTTCTTTTATATCAAAGATATAATGAAAAATGATGAATAGGTTGTTCTTAAGAATCCACCTAGAGCCTACATTCATGAAGCCGTGTCTGACGAAGATCATGTTGAGGAGGTTATCTTGGCTGACGAAACAGTTGCTGAGTTTTTCTTGACACAAAATAATAATTTGGCCTATGAAATTGCACTAGCGTACCTTGATGTACCTACGAGTATACGTGAGCCTAGGCGTAAAGGTAAAAAACCAGTCTGCAGCAGAGCCGATAAAACTGTAAGAACAATCCTTTCGTCTATCCGCACACTGTCGCAGGCTATTCGCACACGGTCGCAATCTAGAGTCTCAACATCATAATAATAATGTAATACTTGGTTATAAATTAAAAAGAACATTCATTGTGTTTTATTATGATTTGTACATGCTCGTAGTATTATAGTATCGGACATCAGTGTATTATAGTATTACCTTTATATTATCTGTTTGATTGGACATCATGCTTGACTGGATACTCACTATATTTTTAAAGTATAGATGACAAAAGGATTACGTAAGAAAGCGCTTGAGAGACTTTTTAGTAGACATTCTGGAGGCGACGCACATGCCTCTGCGTCAAGTATTTATATTTATTTATTATATCTGTATATTTCTATAAACTATTAATATGATCCTAACATTATTTTTTAACAGGACACGAAGATGCTACACAGGACTCGCCGCTACAGGACATAGGACATGAAGATGCTCCACATGACATAAAGACACAAGTTGATCCTACCCAGCATGCAGAGATGTCGCCGCCGCCGCATGCAAATATTTTGGAGGATCGGAGATATGAGCCGTATAGCGTAGCTGTAGAAGCTACGCCACTACAACCAAATTCTATTACGGATCAACGAGTCCACGGCACGGCAAAGGTGAAGAGAGATTGGGATTCTTATTATGCTTTATGACCTATCGAGCAGCATAGGTACGAACAAGCAAGGCGTAGATGCGTCGAACTTAAAGGTATGAATAGATTTTTATAGTTTATCGATTATTATTTTAATTTTTATTATTGATATGGATTGATTTATATTTCACCCAATTCATTGTTTCGCAGGTACCGAGCGACCTCCTAGGCGTGGCTACGATGCTACCAGGGAACATAGCCTCATCTCTGGTATTCATCGGAGGGCTGTGATTCGATGGGAAAACGGAGTGTCTGTCGGGGCCTTTGCCAATGCTTTTAACAATTTCCTCGCCGCTTTAGTCAGGAGACATGATTTCTTTAACATTTTTTTAATGTGAAAATTGCAGCGGATTGATGCGCTGGTGGCTTGTTGGAGATATATATATATGTGAGCCATTTATTTGGATTTTCATAACTATTAGTTATTAGTTTATTATTATATTTAATACACCGATTTGTATCTCTTTTTTCTTTATATGCTGAAGTGATTTTTCTTCCTTGATGGTAATATTTGTGCCTGGACTGACTGCTTCACACAAATCAATCTATCATTCAAGAGATAGCGGTTTGAGGTGAAGAAGAAATATTTTGTTCAAATAACAAAAGATTGGGAGCGCTTCTGGCATCTTGACGAGTGTATAGATGGAGTAGATTTTTTTGCACTTTGTGATTACTGGGACACGACCGAAATTCAGGTATTATTGAAGTACAGATTTTTATTTATTGTTTGAATTTCTATATTATTTTGATTTGACATTGTTTTGCAGGCTCAAGCTAAAATAACAAGGAGGAACCGCAACGCGCCCCACAGTTACGAGCATCACGGGGGCTCCAGGTCCTTCAACCAACATTATCATCAATTGGAGCTTGATGTATACAATATATTAGCTTTTAAGTTATCAACTTGAGTATAATTTATTTGTTATGTCTTAATGATATATTTGAATAAAATAGAGAAGGGGAGATCTCAGACATTTTGCATATCGTATTCTGACTTCCTGGAGCCCGAATTACGCAGATGAAGAAGAAAGCGAAGAACTAGGATTTGGCTGTAAGTAGCAGTTCATTTGTATATTTAATTTCATAACAATGCATCATTAATAAGTCGACTTGCCCAGGTTGTTTTGATATATCGCAAGAGAAATTATATGCCAAGATACAGGAGCAAATGTCTCAGTCTCAAGTCGGTTCTAACACTCCGGCCTGGCTAAGTAGAAAGGAGGAGGACTCCATCATGAGTCTAGTAGCACCTATGAGTCTGTAGAACCACCAGGAACACCAGGAAGTAGTTCATATCAAGACTCGACGATGGAGTAACGATTGAAAGCCAAAAATATATACTTATTTACTTAGTTATGAATTTTCTTCGTGACTAAATGATATCATACACACCGATACACACTGATACAAACTGTTACATACAAACCCTAACCCTAACACAAAGCCAAAAATATATACTTATAATATTTTTATGTGATGGTGGTGTTGATGGTGTGTACGTGAGTAGTGGTGGTGGTATTGGTTGGTGGGTTGGTTGGTTGGTTGTGGTGTTGTGTTGTGGTGGTCATTATGTGATTGGTTTGTGACGGGTTTGGTCGTGGTGGGGAGGGGGAGGAGTGGGGATTGGGTGGTGGTGGTGGTGATGATGGAGGTTATATTTATATTTGCGCACTCTTGTTAACGGTTACACACTCTTATTAACGTTTGATTTATATTTACAGGTCGGGACTTCTAGACATGGTGTAGTCGGGGGTAGTCATAGTGGAGTTGGTGATGAGGATGATGATCAGGAGGAATGATATGTATTAATTCAGCTTAGAAAATAATAGATGTGCTGTATAAACAATGTTTATTATGTCATGATATTTTTTATTTGTTTTTATTAAAATATATGTGTTATATATGCATAGGAATGAATATTATATTGCTGATTGAACATGTTTTTAAATTTATTATATTATTATACATGGTTTTTTCAATTTTCAAAATATTTTGAAAAAAAATATTTTTCACTTTTAGTGATGGATTGATCATCGCTCAATATAACTTTAGTGACGAAAAACGGACATGGGAAAAACAAATAAAAATAAAAATATATCTTTGGCGACGGCCAATCCGTCGCTAAAGATGTTTTTAGAAACGGAAAACGGGGTCGAGAAAAACAAATAAAAATATAAATATAACTTTAGCGACGTAATAGTCGTCTCTACATATGTATTTAGCGACAGAAATATCCTAATTTTTTATTTTTTTTTAAAAAATAGTACGACGGAAAAACCGTCACTAATTTCCCGTCGCTAACCTTTACCGATGGAAAATCCATCGACAAAAGTGCTATTAGGGACCCTCAATGTATAGACGGTATTGCAGCCTACATTGAATTGATAATGTCTAGGCGAGACAATCCATCCTTGGAATGTAATCTGTAATAAACCTGTAAGTTATAGGTGGGGTATCCAAATTTAACAAGTTGATCTATTCTTGAGCCATACAATATCAACTAGAATTTGTACCCAATTCCAATAACGTTTTTCATTACAACATCAATAGTTTTTACAAGTACAAGTACATGACATGCAGTTTATAATAATTAAAATAATACAAAAAATTGCTGAAATTTTCCAAGCTAATAGTTGATTTTCGACAAGTCTCAATTCTTTCTCCATCCTCTTCGATTGCAAAATATATTTATCTCCGTACCTATTTTTTTGACATATTGGCTTCCTTGGTTGCTTATTTCTCCTCTTTCATCAGCCCATTCGAAAAAATTGCATTCTTTATTTGGGAATTTTGCACACCCCTAATAACGCCTTCCCTTATTTTTACTATTCTTGCACACTTTCATCGGTGTTCGGAGATTGCAGTCGCAATAAACTTCATAATTTCGGGAGCATTCTTCTGATATCATATTGATGTCGGGGAGGCAAATTGCAAACAATGAGAATTTATAAATTGGTGAGAATGGAGAATGCATTGGAAAATTTGAGGCCTCAAGTTAAATTTATAGCCTCCAAGGCTTTGGAACTAGCCGTTGCTTCAGTGTTTCGTATTTGAATATTGAGGTAGTTGTTGGAACTAGTCGTTGCTACAGTGTTTTTGTTTTGAATATTGAACTAGCCGTTGCTGCAATATTGATCCCAAAAAATTTTCATTTTGAACCAAACTAGATATTAGAAATTGGAGGTTTTTTATAAAAGTGGGATTCTATTTTTCCATGGGGTAAAACAAACATAGAATGAAAAAAAAAAAAAAAAGGATTCCATAAAACTACAAGCTTGTCTTAGGAATCCATAAAAAAAACCGTATTCCTAATCCTATTCATGTTTATTTGTGAAACAACCGGCCCCTAAATATAACGGGGCTCTAGGAATTATCGGCGTCTGAAACGGGCGCAAGAAATTAACCCGTCCCGACCCGGATCGTACCCGCCGCCACCGACCTTAGCAGCGTCAGCGAACACACCCCCGCGTTCTATTTTAAAATCTTAGCTTAAACCTAACGCTAATCTCAAATCTCTCTTTCTCTCCGTCTCAAATTCTTGATATAGCTGCTGAATTCGCAAACCCTAGCTCACTCTCGCTCTCTCGAATTCGAAAGCTAACTCCTTTGATTCTCAATATCTCGGACTGACTGATTCTCTTCCCCAGTCACCTCTTTTTCCTTGAAAAAAGTTCCCGCCACCGCCCAAACCGTAACCCTAATCCGGAAAAGGATGGATCTTTTTGATCGTCGACGCCGCCATCCGGGGAGACTCCGGGACAGGGAACTCCCTGTTCTTGATTTCCCCATCACGCCGGCGAGCTCCACCGCGCCTTCGAGATGGGGGCGCTATCGGCAGATTCTTGACGATCTCTTTCTTAGCATCAACGACGATGGCGGCAATGCCGCCAACAAGCAGAGGAAAAGATGTCGCAGAGAGAAAGAACCAGTGGAAAGTATCATCAGTGCCTGTCAGATTCTCGATGCGGCTGGTCTCCAGGACGGCGATCATCTAAACCTCCTCGATTGGAGCCCTAGCCGCAACCTGGCGATCGTCCTCGACGACGTCGTGCACTCTCTGAACCCTGGCACCTCCGCTCATGAGATCGTCTTCGACTACATGGGCAGTTCAATTTCGAGCCTCAGCTGGGCTCCCGACGGCCGCCACCTCGCCGTTGGAATGCACGATTCGCTGATTTACATATGGGATGTCGAACGAAAGTGCCCGACGAGGACTTTGAGAAATGTGCACTGGAGATCATCTCGAGTCGGGTCTCTAGCTTGGAAATGTGACAACATACTGACCTCAGGAGGCTCAGACGGCAGAGTTGTCAACAGCGATCCCAGGATGCCGTCTGCAGCCCACGTTGTTCAAAGCTACCGAGGACACGGGCCCGGCGACATTTGCGGGCTCAAATGGTCACCTGATCACGCAAGCTTCAAGCAACTAGCGAGCGGAGGCAGCGACGGCCTGGTTCATGTATGGGATGCTCGCAATCAGAATCAGTGGGCTTTTCGTTTCAAGGTTGCTGCTAGAGATGCTTCTGTCAGGGCCCTTGACTGGTGCCCTTTCAAGGGTTGCTTGCTGGCCACAGGGGGAGGTGTTGGAGGGGACGGCAAGAGCAACGGATCGATCAGGTTCTGGAGCACGCAAACCGGTGCTTGTGTGAGGTCGGTGAAGACCGGCAGCACCCGAGTCTGTGCTCTGATGTGGAGCAAGAACAGCGAGCAGTTTTTGAGCTCGTGCAGCGGTACCGATCAGGATCACATGACTCTCTGGGACTACCCATCCTGTGTTAGGACAGGAGAGCTTGTGGGTCACGTCGCCCCATACTTAGCTTTGAGCCCAGATGGCACCACGGTTGCATCGGCTACGGGGGGCATCGACTCAACGCTGAGATTGTGGAACGTTTTCCCCCCAGTTCCCAAGCCCACATCTAGAGCGCTCTTCAGCGGTTCGTATCATGCACACATCAGGTAATCACACACGCGCACATCAGGTAATCACACACACACACACACACACACACCATGCGCGCATACACACACTTTTACTTGTTTATTTATTAACATGCCAGTAGTTTAGCCGTGTCACTACTACACTCACGCCACACTCTCAGTCGTGCATGCACCTCTTATCGGTTGTGTATGCCCCATTACCACAGACCATCGATCAAACCAGGCCATTGCTGCCCTCGCACCGCACCATCAGTCATGCATGCATCGCCCATCGATCGTGCATGCCCTACTCATGCACCCGTTGGTCACAGTCACTCATGCATGCACCGTTAATCATCCATGCACACCCATGTTTCCACTCACCCATTGCTTGTGCTCGGTAGTGCACAAACCGCCCATTGCCAGAAGTCAATCGATCGCACTTGGTCATGCATATGAGACAGGGTAGTTTTTGACACACATCACATACTTCTAGCACATATCATATGCTTTTGAAGTGTTTCGTACATTTCTAGATCTCAATATTTGAATTCCAGAAAAAAACGGTACTGTGAAATTTTTGGCATGGCTCATAAATTTTCTTTACGCTCACGACACCTTCCGACACCTCTCATATTTTCTGACACATATTTTCTTGGTAATTTATCCTAACCCAAGTGTCCTGATTTTAGAAAGATTTGCAGTGTCAACATGCTCAGTAGTGTATATCCTGCTTGACACAGACAGACACATCTACATCTTTGCTTGTTTATTTATATATATCCCTGCAGGTCATATTTCCAATGCTAATTCTGCAGTGCGAGTTTGTTTCCCAGCAGCAAAGTATCTACATTATTTGATTGCATTAGTTCGTTATCCCAATGGTGGTAGATGACTTCGGCAAGTGAAAAATTAGAGGGGTTGGCTTTCTTGTGTGTGGGTATGTCTTGGTGTGTGCATGTGTGTGTTATGCTTGTATGTATCTTTTAAAGGTTAAAATTTGGGCTATTTTTGGTTTTTGGTGTGAGTGTGTGCGTGTGTAGGTGTATTTCAAGGTGTGTCATTCTTATTCTTTTTTCTAATTGTTTTGGGTTATTTTTGTTGTTATGGTGCTGATTTTCTGTGAACTTGTTCAACAGGATTGTATCTTTCTGAGGGGTTCGTGTGAGTTCATTTCTGCTCTCATTATTACTTTTGTTTCTAGGTATTTTGTGGTGTACTAGTGCAGGTTTTATGTTCAATTTCACTTTTACAGAGTTTGTTGCTCTTCCTTTTGTACTATTAGTTGCTGGATGTTTGTGTGTGTGCATGTGTGTCTTTGTATATGTGTTTCTGTATGTCTGTTTGGGGCATGCAGGTTTTTCTTCTCTTTTTCCCCTGCATTAAAGAATGAAAAGCGAGGTCCTATCTACTTTTATTGAGAAAGATTGCTCACCAGTTTCATATACTGAATTGCGTTTTTTTTTTTGAGAAACATATTGATAAACACCTGGACAGTATTATATTTAAGAAAAAGAATGACTGAGAAATGAACTTTTTTGTTGGTGTGAAGACTGTTAAATTGAATCAGTGTGATTGATACATCTGCTTGTACTTTGAGGAGAAGATAGCTGTCAGGTTTCTACTTTTTGTAGTTATCAACAATTATTTTCTTAAATAAGGTACTTTGTTATGATATTCACTAACTGAACACAGTTTTGAAGCCTGTGCATTACTTAATATTGAAGATTGCTTTTTTAGGAGTTTGACTGACCGAATTTGAAACAGGAGAAATTTCATTAAACCATGTTTCACATTCTTCTAATGACACTTAATGCACATTCATACACTTAAAACATAATACCAGATACTAACACAATTTTCAAATGCTTCAGAATTTTAATGGTTGTTTTTTTAGTAATCTTGTAAATTCATCAAAACATATATGTTGGTGGAAAATATTACCTCAGTTATTTTGTTGAATTTTCCTAACCAATTGTCCATTTTAAGAAGATTTTCCATACAAACATGCTCCTCCATCTCTTACACATCTTATGCTCTTACCCTTCATTACAAAAATCCCGTGCTTGTCTATTTATTTATTTTTGCAGCCGTACTTTCTCAGCATTTCGCTTTTTTTGCCTTTAATTGCAATTGGTTGCATCTCCCAATTGGTGACGGTCTGATAGGTAAGTCTGGTAAGTGCAAAAACAAATTTTTTTTACTGGTAAGTCTATGTCTACTCTGATTTAGTTGATTTTTTTTAAAAGCATGTAGCTGGGGACTTGTGTAGGTCTCCTAGCTGTAGTTCATGTTCGCCTCATTTTGCTTGGTTTCGTCTCTTCAGGTTTATCACAAATGCAATAAGTTTCATATATAGTACGGGTTAAGAACTTTGTTAGTCTAGCGCTATCAGTAGGCAAGGCTTGGAATTTGTAGAAGTTGCAGAGGACTTTACAACTACATGATTTGTAGTAGTTGCAGAGGAGTTTACAACTACATGGACCAGTATCCCTCCAGCAACCAAACGAAATGCAACGATTCCGATTACTCGGGTTTTCTTGCAAGCTAATTACTTTTTCATACTGCAGTCAACAGCGCATCCTTGAAAGAAAAGTTGTGAGCAAGTTTCCAGTATTTGCGGAGGCTCTTGTGTCTGTCGCCTTGAATTTCCGTCCTCCGTGTTTACTGATTTTTTTAATTAATTGAGTATGATTGTAAATTTATAATGCGACTTAGTGTAATTGAAAGTTCTTTTTTTAAGGATGTAATAAAAATACACTTCCGAGTTCCATGGTTTAGTTTCTTTGGTTTTTAATCAGTTTATTTGCATATCAAATGTCTCTCTTCATTAGGAATTTTACTATAATGTGCTTGAAAGTTTACAAAAAGATTGTAAATATTTTCACATATTACAGGATGGTTCCGACATTTCCAATACCAAGAGGCAAAATGTGAATATTTTACTGGAGTTGAGCACGTCAATCATATATTACCAAATTATGTAAGGTCAAACATGCAGACTTTTAGATTATATATATAGAATTGGACTTAATTTTTTTTCTCATTGTTAATCATTTTCTGGACTTAAGGACCTGCATCAATTTATAGTGCATTAACGTCTCCTCTAATTATTTGTGTTAAAAACGTCGAAACATTATTATTGATGACGCATCATTTCTACAATTCTCTTATGAGTATGGTTTAGTTCCCAATGCAATGAATTCTTAGATGGTTTGGCTTCACATAAAATAAGGAGCTTTGCGACAGGGACCCAAAATATGAGACCAATAGGGGGGACAAGTGATGTGTTCCCTTCCTATTGGATAATAAGTTGGCCATCATTGATGTGTCCCCCTCCTATTGGATAATGAGTTGGTCATCATTAATGATGGCCAACTCATTATCCAATAGGAGGGGGACACATCACTTGTCCTCCCTATTGGTCTCATATTTTGGGTGCTTGAGGAATTTTTCTTAAATAAGTATCAAGCCCATGCTCACACTGGATTGTTTTAATTTCTTTGGTTTACATATATTGGTTTATAAGCTCAATAAACACGTTAATATCTTGGTATAATAAGAGAGATGATTTTATTATATCTTTATCGATTATAAGTTATATATCATCTTTGAAGTAATACTTTAAATGTTTAAGAATGCATAAACAATGAGTACTTCTTCTTTGCTATGTTATGAGAAGAAGAGAATATAGTTTTTTTTATTAGTAGTTAAAGTAGCTAGTTTGAGTGGTTGGATTTTCCTAAAATAAATCAAAATATTATGTTTGAAATTCAAACTTAGATAGCTTAACCATCTATCTGTCCCTTACAAATCTAAATAAAAATTTATAGTTTGTAAGAACTAAACGACGACTAGGATTTTAATGTTTCGAGATTTAAATCAGTATTCGTGTTTGGTTCGTCTGAGATTAGTATTTTCCACTAATCCCAAAATGGATAGTAAAGAGTTCCACTATCCCCAAGCATTCCGGACATAGGACTTCCCAATACTATTATATCCTCTCACCTCACATACTCACCCATATTAATGTATTATAATATTATAATGAAATATGTTAAATTAGAGGGGGTGATTATAATCTTAGAATTTATTTGGGTGAAATTGGTAAGATTTTGAGGGTTATTTGTAATTTTTGTAACTTCAATGGATGGTTGTAAAGTTTTTGGGGAAATGTTTTGTAAAGTTTTTATGGGGCTATTTATAATTTACAAAACCTACATGGGTTTTTTATAAATTCTCCCAAAGTGTTTGTAATTCTATAAACTTTCAAGGGATTGTTTGTAAAATATTTAAGAAGTTATTTATATTATTGAAAATTTCATATTTATTAATTTTGCAACTTTTATGGGGGCAAGCTGTAAAAAAAATTCAAATGACTGTTTTAAAATTTTAAAGGGGATATTTATAATTTTTGGAAATTTCAAGCGGTTGGTTATAAAATTTTCATATGGACCTTATGTTGTCTTCTACTACCATATTTGCCAAAATACTCACCGCCTTGATTAGATCTAACAATCTTGATAACTTTTGCCAATTATTTCTGAACTTAAGATCATCTCCAACGCAGCGGCATTTTGGTACAAAAAATGGTTTTGCCGCTGCGTGTGAGCTCCAACCCAGCCCATTTTTGCTGCATTTTAGCGGTGTTGAATAGTGCGACATCATATTTGGCGTCACACTGTTCATCACCACATTACTGTTTATTTTTTTTTTTTTTAACCTTTTAATTTTATGTATTTACAATTTGACCCTAATTTTTTATTAAATTTATTAAACAACCCCAATAATATTTAAATTTTATAATTTTACCCCAATTGTATAATTTGGACAAACTAAGTTATTTTTTAAAAATGAAAATAATGTTAAAATTTAAAAGGCATTATTATTAATTACAATATTAAAATCTAGACATTATAAGTAAAGTCCCATGAAATATAAATTAAAAAATATAAAGAGCAATCCTAATACAGAATTCAAATATAAATTACATATCTGAAATACATAACATATAAAAACCGACACACATAATATAAAACTTCATTAAAATAAAACATAAATTACAAACTAAACATATAGCATTACATAAGATGGACAGGCAACTCTCAATAATCTGGTAGATCGGATCCAGAGTGTCCAATATCATTGAAATAATTGTCAAAATTAGAAGCAGACCCTTGTTCTTGTTGTTTCTTTTTTGTATTATTTTAATCTGTTAAGCTCGAATGTATTCACGTACGTTTGGATCAGCAATGGAATTCAAATCTTTCATTATAATTTTTCATTCATCTCTATCTTTTTTCATGGCTATCTTTTCTCGTTCGATATCAAATGCTACTTGCCTGTCTAAGCTCGCCTTGTCTAACATGTCTATAAGTCGGTTGTTATTTGCATCGATGGAGTCCACTACACTTGACTCATGATCATAATTTTTCCTTTTTAATTTGGTTTTTTTTTACCCCAATAGGTCGTTCAGGTGGAGTAAATGATGATAGTCCAGGAGATGTTGATATAGGAGAATCCAGAGTGGGATTATCTGATTGTGACGAGTCGAAGTTCACACTTTGGGGTTGTCTTCGACCAACTTGTCTTGCTGTGGGGACATCATCTTTAATTTTTTTCAAAATTTTTAAAACCATATTCCAGACATGATCAAATTTGAAACCTTTTTTGTACTTTGGTTCTTGCATAAATAACATCTTTGCTCGATCTAACTGCAAATTATAGTGAACATCAAGTTATGTATTTCAAAAGCAATAATAAATTTCAAAATAATATTAATAGAATACTTGCAATATCTTCATCTGAAGCACCACTTGGATTCAGATTCTCTACTTGTCTCAAGCACGCATTCAATTTCCAAGCACCACTTGGATTCAGATTCTCTACTTGTCTCAAGCACGCATTCAATTTCCTTACTTCATTACTTATTATTTCCATTCGGATTCAGATTCTCTACTTGTCTCAAGCACGCATTCAATTTCCTTACTTCATTACTTATTATTTCCATTCAAGAACAAACTAATCGGTTCGTACGCACCTCAAAATGCTGATCACGAAGTTCATTGTATCTGTCCTCCACACGAGACCAAAATGCATCTCGTGACTAGTTTCTACCGATAATAGGGTCTTAAGAAATATCCATGAATACTTGATAAAGGAGCACATCTTCAGTAACTGTGTATCCAGATAATCGAACTGACATTTTTTTGGTAAAAAGTGGTTGGTTTGGAGATTAGGAATACTTTGAAGAAATACTTCGAATTGGGTGGTTTGAACTAGAAGCCGTGAATGTTATTTATAGCCAATCCAAATTTATTTTTTTTGTTTGAATTTGAATTTGAATTTTGAATTTGAATTTATCGGTGGTCAACATTTGAAATTGAATCATTGTGTACAAACTGATCAGCTTTACACATTGTCCAGCGTTATCAGTGAGAATCATTTTCTGAAATCTGCTCAGCTTTACACATTGTCTAACATTGTCAGTGGGAACCATTTTCTGAAATCAGCTCAGCTTTACACATTGTCCAACGTATACAACTAAGCATTCATTGAATTTGAATCAGCTTAGCTTTACACATTGTCCAACATATACACAGCTAAGTATTCATTGAATTGTGTGAAAGCTTTATATAAGTGGAAAACATTTTCTGAAATCAGCTCAGCTTTACACATTATCCAACGTATACACAGCTAAATATTCCTTGAGTTGTGTGAAAACTTTATATGAGTGGGAATCATTTTTTGAAATCAGCTCAGCTTTACACATTATCCAACGTATACAGCTAAGCAAATTTAAATTTTGTAACAAATTGATAACAGCTGGAAAGCATTTCCTGAAATCAGCTCAGCTTTACACATTGTTCAACGTATACGGCTAAACAAAGTTTTATAAATAGCATGCTAGATTAGGTACCTCCACACAATTATTCGTTGTTGTGTTAAAATTATTATTCTTCATTTTTGCATACTTCAGTCATTCTTTTCTTACTTCAAAAATGAATTTCGATGCTGGAGGTCCATCATATTTATCAAGTCATTCTTTTCTTACTTCAAAAATGAATTTCGATGCTGGAGGTCCATCATATTTATCATCATCTTCATCTTCGGATGATGATAATTTTCTGTCCAATATCATTACAGAGATTGATAAAACCGAAGAAGTAATTTGTGAGTACATCAACAACAACATGATCCTCGCTAACAATTTACGCCAACAAAACTACCAACCGATCCATGATGGCTCGATTCCCGATCATGCATTGATCAACCGCGATCGAGAAACTACGCATCAGAATTTGGTCATAGATTACTTTACCGATAATCCAAGTTTTAGAGAAGATATGTTTCGTCGTCGATATCGGATGTCAAGAAGTTTGTTCCTTCGTATTGTTAATGCAGTGAAAGATCATGACTATTACTTCCAACAACGAAGTGATAGACTTGGTAGAATGGGATTATCACCGTTACAGAAAGTAACAGCTGTTTTTCGCATGTTGGCATACGGTCGTAGAATGGGATTATCACCGTTACAGAAAGTAACAGCTGTTTTTCGCATGTTGGCATACGGTCTACCAGCAAATTCTACGGACGAATACATTAAAATAGGTGAGTCAACAGCAATTAAAAGTACGATAAAATTTTATCATGCTATGATGGAGATATTCGTAGAGTGGTATCTACGAAAACCTAATGCTAATGATATTGCTAGGCTACTCCATATTGGTAAAAAATGTGGTTTTCCAAGAATGTTAGGAAGTCTTGATTGTATGTATTGGAAATAGAAAAATTATCCAACGGCATGGTCTGGGCAATACACAAGACGTAATGGGTCACCAACTATTATCCTTTAAGCTGTAGCAGATTATGATCTCTGGATATGACACACATATTTTGGTATGCTAGGCACCAATAATGATATCAATGTGCTGGAATCATCTAATCTTTTCTCTAATCTAGCTCAAGGTATTTCTCCTCCCACTCACTATGTTATTCAAGGAAAAGAGTATAATATGGGTTATTATTTAGCTGATGGTATATATCCAAAATGGACTACTATTGTACAAACAATCCAACAGCCACAAGGTAGGAAGAAAAAATATTTTGCCATGAAATAGGAAGCATGTAGAAAAGATGTAGAACGTGCGTTCGGTGTTCTCCAATCTTGATTTGCAATTGTGGCAGGATCAACACGTTTTTGGAAAAAACATGTATTACATGACATAATGACTGCATGCATTATTATACATAATATGATAATCGAGGATAAACGTGATCTTTATGCACCAATTCAAGAAGTGAGGGAAGTACCAACACCAGAAGGTGATATTATAGCAGATGAAACTACAAGATTTAATCAATTTATTGCACGTTACAGAAAAATCAAGGATAAAGATGCCCATATTGCGCTTAGTAATGCATTGATAGATCATCTATGGGAAGAATACACTAATTCAGATAGCTAAGTGCATATTAAATTTGTAATTTTTATATTGTTATTAATGTTTAATTATTTTCTTGTATTTTATTTTCTGTTGTGTTCTTAAATGTAATATTTTAGAAATATCAATAATAAATATAGATTATTTTAGCAATCAAGTTATTTTAATTAATAAAATAATATTTTATGTTTTATTAGTTTATTTTTTAAGTAATAAATCATTTTGTTTGAAAAATATGTGAAAAAATAAAATTTGATATGTGAGGTTAATTGTTGAAATAGTTAAAAATATAGGAAATAAAAATTAATAATATAAAAGTAGATAAAAAGAAATATTCTGGGAATATTCTTTTTTGGTGCAAAAAATGGTACAGTGGGTTGGAGATGAATTACTGTTTGATGTGACTTTTATACCATTTTGGTGCAAAATTTGCATCATTTTGATGCGATGGGTTGGAAATGCCCTAAGTCTTAATATTCTTGAACTTTTCAAGAGCTTCAGACTTTTACTTAATTAAGAACAAATATCCGTATCGAGAAAAGTCAGCAACAAAAGTAATGACGTATTACAATTACATAATGTAATTGAATATGGTCTACTAATATCCGTGTGAATAACTTCCAAAAGATTAAAACTATGAATGAACTCTTTTTCTTTATCTTGACCGATTTGACTCTACAACAATCAACACAGTTTCTAGGTCACCAATATCAAGAGTCTGAAGGATGTTACCCTTTATTAA